TGAACGTTTATATTTTAGACCTAGAGGCAAGGGAGCAGCGTTGGAGTCACTCCACAAGGTTTTAAGCTGGCCGTACACCTTACAATTCTCTGCAGATTTTCTGTGGTCAGATGGAAAAAGTGCAAAGGATTGGCCCAGGTGGAGATTACTCCATCCACACAGTTAAGTGTAGCTGTTGCACCTTTTCCATCTGACCACAGAAAATCTGCAGATAATTTGTAAGGTGTATGGCCAGCTTTAAACCAGTTTATAGCTGCGGTTATAGCTGGGAGCTTGTTTTAACCGCTTTGGTTTGTTGTAATGAAGCCCCCCATTGCTGGCTGCCAAAGAGAGGAATAACCAGGATGTAGATCAGGTGTGTCAAACAGGTCTTCTCTCCTACTTTGCCACCCTCAGCCAGTTTAAGGATTTAAAGCTGAAGTTTAAAGGCATATCCCACCTTTTGCAAAAAATAAATGCATACAAACTGATAAAAGATCAAACTGATGTGCATTTTTTTGCATTGGAGCCTGCAAATAGTTTCAACCACGATCACTGGACTCCAACAGACTTGTTCTCCAGCCCAAGGTGTGGAGCAAACAATCAGTGGTCTACAACTGCAGTGATGTCGCTGAACATGTGCTCCATTGAGATCTATGACAGGAGATGGGACTTCTAGTCTCTCCATTCACATAACCAGCAACAAGATAAGGATGGATGGTGTTCTTTTGCTGGATATCTAGACAGAATTACCATTGTGTGTTTGGAAACATTACCACCTACACTACCACCTTCTTCTCAACAGTTTAATGCAACGTTTCTCAAGCTTTTTTCAGTCGCTGCATCCTTTAAAAGTATGCAGAATATGTATTTTTGTATGAAAATATATAAAAAATGATGTGTGGTTCCCCCCAAAATCTATACCAAACCCTTATCCTACATTGGGGTCTGGTATGGATTTTTGGGGGGAACCCATGGGAAAAAAAAAGATGTGGTGTTACACCCCTCCGTTTAGAGTTCCTGCTTTCACAGCAAAGCCCCGCTTCCCATCCAGCCCCCCCTTTATATCAGAATCTGCCTTCACATCAGGAGGCCCCCATTAACATTAGAGTCCTCCCTTTCATATCATGAGTCCCCATTTTACATCATGAGTCCCTCCCCTTCACATTATGAGGCCCTCCTTCACATCAGGAGGCCCCCATTAACAGAGCCCCCCCCTTTTACATCACAAGGCCCCCTTTTACATCTCGAGGCCCCCGCTTCACATCAGGAGGCCCCCTTTCACATCAGGAGACCTCCTTTCACATCAGGAGCCCCCCTTCACATTATAGCCCCCGTTACATCGGAGTCCTCAGAATACATCAGAATCCTCAACATAGGGTGGCAGGTGCCTCAGGTCTGGATAGAGGTGGACTTCAGTCCTCATCTCAATGCTGAGTGAAGGGCCTGTATGTAGCCCACGTAGGATAGCATCATCATACATTTCCATTTGGCTCGTGGCTGGCTCACCTGCACCATGGAAATGAATGCGAAAATTTGAAGCCAGCCCTGACTAAGCCAGAAGGCACCCCTGGCTGCGGCACCCTGGCTGAGAAAGGCTGGTCTAATGTTCTAAAGTCCTTATGAAACATATATATGGAAATATTAATAAAAACGGATACAGGAACATTCCGTCTCTTAGATTTGGTCCCCTCCCCTTGTGTGTTACACAATGACACGTCCTCTGAAGATGTGAGGACCAGTGTATGACGGAAGACCTTCATTTAAAGGGAAAGGCTTTTTTGGTGGGCTGTGCATCAACGTTCCCAGGGACATCACAAGAAACGCTCTGGCTGTGGGTGGTAGCAGCTCTTACAAGGATTATTTTTATAGAGCGTGGGCTGAAAAACAAGATGATTACGGGTGTTCAGGAACGGAAAGGACAAGAGGAAGACAAGCCAAGAAGTCAATTTATGTGACGACCGGTTAGTCTTGGATTGGGTTGTCTTGCAGCAAGGGAAATTTGGCTCCAGTTTACACGCCTGACTAATCAGCATCCAATGTCTACATCATTATCCTTATTAAAACAATCAGCCTCCTGCAGCCTTTGCTCATTGTACAACACTCATTAGCGGCTCGAGGACTCGCAGCCAGTCAGGAATACGGTCACTTCATGCTCCGTAGATCAATCCACTTGGGGTTTGAAGGAACAATGAGCCTAAACTACAAGCCAGCTCATAGAAAAACTGCTATTTCCAGAGAACTCTGGTGCTGCATTGTTATTAGGTTAGAAAACAAAAGAGTTAATCAAGTCTAAGGTTTCACAAACACTAGAGGAAGACAAAATAATGCAAATATTTCATTTGTGAGCCCTGAATCAAAAAATGGGCATTCCAGCCTGTAGTATCAAATGATTGAGTATTAATAACTGTACCAATACTACCTCCTGTATTGATGAATGCCAATGTATGACTGCTCTTACTGTAAAGAACTCCTTCCTGGTCTCCTATCCTCCACAGCCAGCTGAAGGCCCCTTGACCTTTCTACAGTCCAAGCAATACAACACTCTTTATTTTGACTTTATTATTTGATTTAATATTCAAAAAGAACTCTGGACAAAATGTTCATTAACCCTTGCAGTGGGGCAACACCAGCACAGCAAGGGTTAAGTGCTCATTCTAGTCTAGGTAGAAAAACAACAGGTACACTCGTCTGAACCTCCGAGCCAGCCAGCTGTGACAGCGGTCCCTCCAGCCTGTCACCTCCGCTGCAGCGATGGGATGTCCCCCTGTGTCCTCATGTTCAATACACTGTGTATAGAACATGACGACTCAGGGACCACCCTAGCCCAAAACGAGCAGTTAACCCTTGCAGTGCCGGGGTATTCTTAATAATTTTTGTATTCCACGGACTGTACAGAGGAGAAGGGGGCTTTAAAAAGCAAAACAAATGTAGTTTTCCCAAGTTTTCTTTTTAAACACGACCTACGTGTCCTTTAATTAGTTGACTGCCCACGGTTGTACCAGCAGCTTTTTCCAAGTGGCATGGCAGCGCATAGGTGTGATCGGGCCCCACTGAAAATAATGGGGTGCCTGTTGTTGTGCATTGTCATGTGACGGGCAAAGCGCTTGAGATCGCACAATGAGGGCTGAAACTGCAATGTCCTTTTTTGTAAGAAATACAGAAAGGATTTATAAAAGGATCTTATTATATTTCTGGTTCCTGGCTGAGCTGCAGTCTTGTAGCAATTGTCTGCTGTGGTCAAGATTTACCACTTTGCAGAGTAATGACCAATGTAACCGTGTTCAATTCACAAAATCGGATTGTTCAATACTGACAACAGATAAAACATTTCATAGAATTGTATCAGATTATATTACTTGTTCTAGCACTATATATGGCCGAAATATTGATGGAGAGGTGGTGTGACCGGTCATTACACCTGACCTGTCCCTCTGTCCTTGTACGGTGCAATGTTCAGGACGTCGGCTGGCTTAGTGTTGATACGTTATATATTAAGATAGTGCTGAATTATTCACGATTGAAATGTGACACTTCAGAATATGATTTGCATTGAATCTATATTCTATCTGCCTCATGATATTAAGGCCAAATCTGTGGAATCAGCAGTTTTACACAGTCACTCCAGAAATCTGTAGTGGGCTCCTTAGTGTTCTTGTCAGGTTCTTTTTTCTGTCTTTGACCCCACTGGAGAGATTTTCCTTCACTTCCTGTCCCTGTGACACCAGTACTGTAAATTAGTGGTGTATTTTTATGAGGTCAGCAATAAAAGCATTGACAGAAGCCCTAACCTTTCCTTACTTTACAAGTGTCATGTGTGTTCTAACTTGAATCTTGCTGTGCTTTGTCTGTTTGGTCTAGATCTGTGCTGTGATCCAGTGTGAAATTTTCCCTCTGTGCAGGAGTTTCCTGTAATAAAGACCGGTCACTGCTGCTCTTTCTTCTTGTGCAGGGTGACTGGTCTTGTATCCGCCCCCTTTTTCTAGTTTTCTGCAGTGGGTGGAGCCTACTGGGATCCTCCCACAGCTCTGCTCTCTGCACAGGTTATGTACAGCACAGTGATGGTGTCACTACTACTTTTCTTAGGTAATGTCTGGGTTTACGAATACGTTGGTGCTCACAAATGAGATCCTTTTGTGGCTATTAACGAATATATTTAAAAAGATTTTTGTGCCCAGAGTTCAGTTTTAAAGTGAAATGAAAGGCTCCTCTTTTGGTTTTACTTCCTCCTCCTGTGTCTAACCTTGCCTTTCCTCCAGTTCTCCAGTGTTCCTTCATTGCTGTCCCTACTTTTTAGGTTTAGGGTTCCCTTGCAGGGTCCTATGGAGCCTTTTTAGGTTTAGGGTTCCTTTGCAGGGTCCTATGGAGCCTTCTTAGGTTTAGTGTTTTGTTGCAGGGTCCTATGGAGCCTTTTTAGCTCTAGGGTTCCCTTGCAGGGTCCTATGGAGCCTTCTTAGGTTTAGCGTTCCCTTGCAGGGCCCTATGGAGCCTTTTTAGCTCTAGGGTTCCCTTACAGGGTCCTATGGAGCCTTTTTAGTTCTAGGGTTCCCTTGCAGGGTCCTATGGAGCCTTCTTAGGTTTAGAGTTCCCTTGCAGGGTTCTATGGAGCCTTTTTAGGTCTAGTGTTCCCTTGCAGGGTCCTATGGAGCCTTATGTGCGTGCTCCTGGCTGGGAGCTGTGTGCTGAATAGACGCTGTGTTCTGTACTCTGTGTGCGTCCATACAGACACATATCTCCATGGCAAGCAACTTCCCTGCTTTCTCCTCCAACCTGGCTGCTGGCGCCTATGCTGCCCTTGATACTCAACACTCGCTCTCCCAACAGCGGGTTCAGGGGAAGCTGAGGGATCTGGAGTCTGGATTGGGGAATAGTATCTCCAGGACATATGTATAAAATGATTTGCTAGGGATGTTTCCCAAGCCCTTAGAATATATTTATAAAAGTTTGATCATTTAATACCCCCTTATAAAATAATAATAATGTATGTTGGCTCTAACCCGTTTCTTTTCTCTCCATGGCAGAGCAGCGAGGGCTTTCGGAGAATATCTGTCCCAAACTCATCCCGACAGCCGCAACGGCTCAGGTAAGAAGCCCCTTTTCAGCTTTATGGGAGACCCCTTTAATTATTGACAGGTTCTCTTTAATACTCCACGGCCTCCACCCCTCCAGAACATACATTGACTGACGTTCTGAAAATGCTGCTAACCGGGCAAGCGTGCTTTCCCGGTGGCTTCAGTAACGTATAATATTATAAATAATAATATCACTTCACAGAACAGGTATCAAATCAGAAGGTCTAACTTCTCTTTGTTATCTGACAAGGTAGTGACTGAGAAAGCAGATATAAAACACACACACACCCACATTATTGCAGCTCTGTATCCATCCATTCATACATCATTAAAAAACAATTTTTTTAATGCAAGTAGTGTAAGTATCTGAATTTGTCTTGGTTTCAAGCCCCTATATAGCAGAGCAAGGAGCCAAATAGTTGTGTTGCAGGGTTCACATGCTAACAAGGAGCATGCAGATAGGAGGAGAGAGCAAGTGTTACTTGACTGCAGCAGAGGGGAAAACCAGGTCCCTTGACCTGCCAGACAGGGCTGTGCTGTGTGGCAGAGCTGTGTAAACCTCAGGAGTGGATGTAAAGAAATAAAACTCCTTTTGCTGGTTAATTAGGTTTCTTGTATGTATTTAGCTGTTTGCCCAGAGTTCAGCTTTAGGTCAGACAAAGCCAGGACACTGGTATTCTTAGAAGGCGGTCAGCAATGGCAGCCTTCATTTTTCTAAGCTTAGTTTTCTTTATGGACTTTACTTTCAGTTTTTTTTTCCTTCTTCTTGGAAAGATGAAACGTCATTTTAATTAGGGAAGGTGAAGTTCCTCTAAGCCCTCATTCACACTGGAATCAGACCGCACTTACAGCTCTGTGCTGCGTGCAGGGCCGTACCAAGCAGCTACCGGTGAGGGACATGTGCTGCGTGTGATTAGTACGCAGCCCCAGTCCTTCTCTATGGGACTATGCAGCCGTATGCCCCTCTACTCTCACCTCAAGTGCAGATCTGTAGGGGTGCGTGTTTCCTGGCTCGGATCCATCCTGTCAGCATACGATACGAGTACGCTCGCCCTCACTCGCACGGACATGCAGGGCGGGTGAGCGTAGGGGAACGTATGGCCGCATAGTCCCATAGAGAAGGACGGGGTCTGCGTACTAATCACACGCAGCACCTGTTCTTCCCAGGAGCTGCTCGCTACGGCCCTGCACGCAGCACGGAGCTGTACGTGCGGGCCGATTCAAGTGTGAATGAGGCCTTAAAGATGATTGTCCCTCAGTTGCTTACAATGATTCTCATGCAAGTCTCCCTCTCTAGTATGTCCTTGCCCTGAGAGTTCAAGGTTGTCCTCAAGAACCCAAAAAAAAGTAGAAAGGAACTGAGCGTCTATATAAAAGGACAGAGCAGCTGCTCATTCCCGTTCTGGTAAGCTGATGTCTGGCAAGCCCTCTTGGCCGCTCATGCAGCCTGTGATACTCCAACAGGGAACATCTGTACAATTACCAAAAAAAACGCATTTATTGAAACTAATTACATTGATGTGTTTATCTCATTATCCAGCTCCCCAGCAGGGTAGCCTCCACGCAACACGCTCACGTTGCTGATTGAAACCAGTAATTAGGCTTTACAAAAGTGAATTCGCTCCTGGCCTTCGCTCATTCTGTACAGAACACAAAAGAAACCGAGAGTCCGGGATGCAAACTTGCAATTTTGTGTACCTTACGGCATTCCGAGGCTCAAATAAAAACCCCTTTTTTTATTACAGGCCACATTGGTATTTCCAAGTATATATAACGGCTTGAATCCTGGTATGTTTACATCCTGTTCTTTTGGATCCAAGGCAAGATCCTAGCTAAATGTCTCATTGTTCACGGCCCACAAAGTTTTAATGGCTGGCTTCAGTGGCACACTCATGTCTTTGTTTCACAGTTATAATTGTAACAAGTGTTTTGGGATCTCTTTGTGCATTGTTGCTGTGACCTTGAGTGACAGCGACTGACGAGCAAGATGTCTACAGGTATTTATTTATTTTGGCGTCTCTGCGTGTCGCTTCTGAGAACGGAAAGTTAAACAGAAGTGGAAAAATAGTCCCATTGTAGCAAAACATGCCGGATGTAGGAAATGACAAGGGAAGGGATTTTTCTTGGGGAAAAGCCCTGACCCCATAGTTCTCCTTTAAAGCCAAAATTTAGTTTTGGATAAAGTAGACCCTTGTCAGTTTATTTTACTTTTCACTTCCTGTCCCAGAGGGGCAAAGGGAAATGAGGGTGGATCTCTACAAAGTGAGGGGGATTCCCCCTTAGACAGTTGTCACCAGAACAGGTGTGGCCATTTGAACATGATCTTTTAGGGCCTGTTTGCACATACTGCGGTGACCTGCGTTCTGCCGAACCAGTTCAACGCACGTCACTGCAAGAACACATTGGGAATAATTGTTTTCTGTGTCCCATTCACACTACAACATGGCTGTGCTGCGATAGAAATGCAAACATGCTGCCTTTTATCGCAGCACACTGGATGCCACCACAGGACCTGATTGGAGTGTACACATTGCACAGTGCCGATAAAGTTTAAAAAAAAAATGTAAACAGTGACAGGTTCAGCAGGGTACAGCACAATACAACGCACACTGGCCGAACTGCCACGACGCACTAGCCGTTCCACTAAAATGCAGAATTTTATCGGACAAGCTAGTGTGAATGGGCCCTTACTGCTTATTCCTGTAACAGCTTAAATATTTTAAACCCCCTATGACTTTCTGTACTGACAATAGTCAGCAGAACCAATAGTGAGGGTAAATGTTTCTGGGGTGGTGATAGACTGAAATAAAAGCCTGAAACAAGTAGAAGAAAGGCAGTTTTGCTCATTTACTGATTCTGTTTATACCCAATACAGCAAATCATTGATTCCTGCTGATTGTGCCAGCTTTGAGTCTGGCAGGGGAAGAGACCTGAATTTTCTCTCTTGCAGTTTCACTTTCACTTACAAGTCTCTTCACCTCCAGCCTGTGACTAGACAGTGAAAGGAGAAGCAGCAGACTGATGAGCTCATTCTCTGTCACTCTGCTCTCTTCCCCTATCATTGTGCTTCTTGCACAGCATCACAACTAATTGGCTCATCATGCTGCTTCGCTCTCCCCCTCTCCCTCTGCTGTACAATAGTTTGCAAGAATTTGAGTAAGTCAAATTCAGGTACTTACATAGATTGCATTTAAAAACATGCCTTTAATGATGTCTTAATGATTACAGAGCTGCATTTATTTGTGTCCTTTTATATCTACCTGGAGTTCAGCTTTAACCTAGCATGGCCCAGGTTCAAATCCCTACCTAGTATTACCAGATTGTATGTACTTGTATGATTCTGGTGTTGAATTGTAAGCTCCATGGCACAGAGAATGATGCAGTTCTGCAGGGCATAGTATGTCACCGGTATATAAATATGGTACATAACACTAGTTACATAGTATTTGAGGTTGAATAAAGACATAAGTCCATCAAGTCCAACCTATTGGGTGTGTGCATTTCTGTTTGAGTTCGTGTGTGAGTGTGTATTAGTCCATGTATGATTTCGCTCTTAGGAGTACCTGTACCCCTGTATATTATGGTCTCCGAGGAACTTGTCCAGGAGTTTCTTGAATGATTCCACACTCTTAGCTGAAATCACTTCCTGCGGCAGCGAGTTCCAGACCTTAACCGCTCTGACTGTGAAGAACCCCTTGCAGGGCGTGTGTTGACATTTTTTTTCCACCAATTTTTGGTTGTGCCCTCTGGTCTTTGTTACGGAGCTAACCCTAAACAGTTTGTTAATAAGGTTGCTGTCGCCCTTGAATAGTTTATACAGGAAAATCATGTCCCCCCTTAATCTCCTAACCTCCACTGATTCCTAGAACCCCCACTCTGCAATATGAATGTTCTCTTGTGTGCCGGTTACAGAATGCTCCTCTTTCTCTATTGTGCTGCAGTGCATGCACAGCATTGAAAGCCGTGAGCGGAGATCACAACTAAGTTGGTTTTAATTATTGAGTTTTAATTAACTCAGCGCCAACCTGAAATACCACTACACGGCTCATGTTTATTCAGCCTTCCTGCGCTGCCGTATTGTACCGCTGTGAGCGGCCGACCTCTTGGCTGCTGACAGCAAGAGACTGACTCCGCAGAAGGAATCATGGGAGCGAGCAGCCCAGGAATAAAAGCTGCACTGCAATTCACAGGGGACTGAGCTGGACATTATTTAACGCAAACCAGAAAAATTCTGTCTTGACTTATTGAAGGTTGTATTATTCTAAATCAGTAATGTGTTTTTAGAAATATTTTCTATCTGTTTTAAATAAAATGATGCCATGATCCCATAACCATAGTGGTTAGCACATTCCACCCTGCAGTGCTTCGGTTGTGGCATTTGTCCTTCAAGCTACAGGTAGATTGATTGGCTTCCATTTGTATAGGACTGTGGTGGCCACAGTAGATTGTTAGCTTCTACAGGGGTAGGGCCTGATGTGAATGGGGGAAAGGATAAAGTGCAAAGTATATATAAAGGAATACTTCTACGCTGGGTTCCTCCATAGACATTCATTAAATCAATATGTTGTACTTCTGCTTGGAGAACATAAGAGACCACGAGCCTGGCCTAAAGCTTTGCCGATTATGTCAGTGTAGAAAATGAATACAAAGTAATTTTTCAATGAAAAAATATTCTGGAATTACATTTATTGCAAGATCATTATTTGCACATTGCTTTTCTCTTAATTAAAAATTCTGAGCAATGTTGTCATCACAGAGTAGAGCAACTGTAATTACATGTTTTCCTGGCTTTGACAATATAATGCTTCTGAAAATGCTACAGTATTGTTTGTAGGACATCACAAATACACATACACCATTAATTAGAAGTCAACTCCAAGATCCAAACAGCTAAATACACAACTGAAATATATACAATATGCAGGAGATGGTTTACCTGCCAAAAGGATTTATATTTCTGTCCATCCAGTCCTGTGATTTACATAGCTCTGCCGGGCATCTGAGCCAGGTTGGTGACCTGACATTTCTCAACTACAGCTAGAGCAACACAGCTCGGTTACCTTCCTACCCCCAGCTAGTGTTTGCCTCACATGTGCATGTAGAAGAGCCTAATTGGCTCTCAGTGCTGCCGCCTCCCCCCCCCCTTATACTCTATTGAATTATTAAAACCAGAGTATCAACATGGCAGCCAAGAAACTGGTAATTCAAGAACAAGATGGGGATGTGATGTCACTGGTCCCCCTGGTCGCCAACACCAGCTGCAGAGAAGAGCTGCAAGGCACCACATGTTGGGGGGAGTATAAGAGTATCAGGGAAAGTCCTTTGCAGAGCCACTGTCACTTTACACCTGCTTGGTTTGAGTGACCATGTCTCTTCAAGTCTTACATTCAAGATATTGAACTCAAATTGGTATGAATTGTATATGTCATCTTTAAAAGAAATGGTTTTGCGTTATTCTTACTTTTTTCAGTTTAGAAGTTTGATTTTTATAATTTCTTTTGTACTTTACTATTTTTTACTATGAAAAAAAATTGCTGTTTGCAAATAAACATTTAATACAGGGTGCACCTATGTCATAGGATTCCAAAAAGCACTATGAGTTTCTGTTAAAAAACACAGCAGAAGTTGCTTGGCCTTATAGTGTCTGTCTGTTATTGAAGCACTATAGGGATCTTTCAGAAAAGACAACAAGGAGGAGATGAGCCATTCCTCTGATCATTCAGTTGTGTATGAACATTTCAACTTGCACTATCCAGCTTTCTTAATCAC